TGGGACGCTGGACCCGGTTTCCAGCAGGTGCTGCCCCCCCCCAATAGAATGGGCTTTGTTTTCAAAAAAAAAAAAAAAAAAAAAAAAAGAGGGAGGTACTTGATACATGCTCGAAATGGACCGGGCATGTATCCGACAGAAACAACTACAACTTTCAAAGGGGGTGGGAGATACACAAGGATAAGAAAAAGAAGAGGGAAGAGACATGATTGAGAAATAAATAGTATGCCAGACAAAAAGGAAGCAATTCCAAAGGGAAAGTAAGAGAAATCCCTTCCCTGCTCTTCCCTCGCCATAGCACGCTGAGTTACTTCTATTTTTATTCAATCAATCAATCAACCCATCTACCAATCCAATCATCAATCCAGGGAGCAAATACTACTCACTCACTCAATCAATCAATCAATCAATCAATGATAAAATCAAATAAAGGAAAAAACAAAGAAAGACGAGAGAAATTTTGAAAAGGAGACAAACGAACTGGGGAAGCATCAAAGCTCCCCCTGGGGGCCCCACCCGTCCCCACTGCAATTCACCACCATCCGCTGCCCTCCCTACCCCGTCCTCGCCGTTCAACGCTCTTCAACGCCCTGGCCCCTCTTTCTCTCTTCAGCCCTGCGTCCGCGCGGTTTTATACTAAGTCTCACGCGCGTCGCCTATCCGATTTCCGCATCGGAGAGTTAGGGGATGACTACTAAGGGACTAAGAGTGTTGTCGAGTTGTTTGTTTTGTATCGTTCTGTATATGCATGTGTATGTGTGTGGGTTTTTATTTTTATGTTTTTTAGAGTGGTGTGCACGTGGTGAGTGAGATGCGTCCTAGTCGACCGACGTCGAGTCGCGCTTGGGATTTCAGCCTCCCCAGTGCGTCGGTTCGCGTGCAGGTCCGATAGAGGCATACTACCGCGCGTACCCCCTATGCTACAACGAACGAGAAACGCCCTCGGCTGGTCCACCTCTGCGATTGCAACTGATCAACTTTCGTGCTGTGGACTGGTAGCTCGATTGGGATACGCCCACCGAAGGGAGGTGACATCTCCCGTAAGGTGGAGGTAAGTTGTGCCTCGTGTAGACCCTATCCTGTCGTAGGGGCTCGCGAGAGGTATGACTGACGCACTCGGTCGGAGCGGCTTGCGGAAGCTCCATATGCATTTGCGACGAGGATTTAAACCAACTCCTGCGTGACGCGGCCGGGAGGGTCCTGCATTGCCTTGTGCGGTGCCGGACCGATGCGCTCAACGGGTGACGCCGTTGCCGGGGATAATGGTTGTCTGCCGTTGTCCCTGGTGGAACGACATCCGGGTATGAGAAAGTGAGAACTGGGCAAAGGGAGAAGCTTTTTTGGACGTATAGGGTCGATTGCTTGATACCTTGACTATCGTTGAAGATGTCTTAAGACTGTGGCCTAAGTGTGAAGTGTTTATTATAAGAGGCTAAGTTGAGTCGCCCTCCCCTGGTCAATAGAGCGTCGCTTTAGAGGAGGCTTCTGATACATGAGCGACGAAGATGAGGAGGGATGACTGGTAAGCGCGATTGTAAAGGTTTTTTCTTGAGCTCATGCTGAGTAGTGGTATGATAAGTACTTCGATGAGTACTAAGCCTTGACCGTCCAATGGTATCAATTAGCAGGGAGTTAAGTTTCCTAGGGGATTGTCGAGATGTAACTACGGATAAAAGTTTGAGAAGTAGTGGTTATTTAGCTAGCAGTTTGGCCAACCCGAAGAGAGGCGTATGTTTTAAAGTATGTGTAATATATATGTATATATTTGTTTTTATGATGGTTTTTATCTGATTGTTGCCATATATGCGTTTTTCTGTATTTTGTTTGATGTCTGATTGACGACGTATGTATGGATTGTCTTTCAAAGGGGACATAGACTTTGCATGAAACCCACATCTGGCATGGGACCAGAGGTGAATGGGTTGACTTATTCCTGGGAAAGGTGGTTCTTCATCAAGGGAGTCAGCCAGCATGTATAATTGTCCTCAGCGGAAGTGCGTTCTTGAATTGTTATTCCATCGTTGAGGCTTAAGGAAGCAGTTATCAATCTCACGAATGATAGTGAGACCCATGTCGGAATTGTGTTTCTGGTCCATTAGTGGGGTGTTGTTACCTTCCCTATGATAGGAGGGTAACTACATTATCTGTTGAGAGAGGAGGAAGGGGCTTGTTACCTTATCGAAACTGTGACGACCAAGTGGAACAGCTACTGCTTAGTGAGAGCGGCTCTGGAGTAGCGACCTAGGCTCGTCTCCCGTTAAGCAGGGCCATCGTATTTGTGAGGCTGCGGATTCGTTGTTCGTTGCTCTGATAGGTATGACTGGGGTTGTCCATCTGATCATAATGGGGTCGGTGAGGTGCAAGCGTTGAAATCAGAGAGGGTTGCGGTAAGGCTTGATCCTTAGAGCGGGGCTCAGGAGTCGAGATCTTATCTCATGAGGATTACACCTCCCCTCTGTAATATATGCTTCGCTTAAGGATTGAAGGGGTAACAATTGTATCGTGTTATTTGCTCATTGCTAGTCTTATTCCTGCCTTATAGAATATGAAATACGTTGTTGAGGTTTATCTCGTTATATGACTGGCAGTTGAGTTGACTTCATATTGTTGTTTATAAAGCATATTGTGCCCTTCAGCGACAACCCCTGCAAATAACTTGTGTTTATCATGCAAGATTTATTGTTATCAGTATATGTTAGTTATCATGGGTTGTACGACATTTTGGATTCTTGTTTGGAGTATCCACCTATATGCTATGTTGCACGCTGGCCCCGGCCGGTTTCGGCCCAGGCCGCGACCGCCGGCCTAGGCCGGGACCCCCCCGGCCGAGGCCGGCCCGACCGAGTTTTTTCGACCTCGGTCTCGGCCGATCTGGGGGGCGGTTTTCGAAGCGGGGAGCGGGTTTGGGGTGGGGGGGTGGGGGGGCACCCCCTCAAAGTGACAGGGCGTCAAAAAAAAAAAAACGGGGGGTCCCTGCACAAAACCCTGGAAGGGTGGGCCGCGAAAAATCCAGCGTCCCCCGTGTGCAGGTTCGTCGATGCGGGGTCGCAGGGGGGAGGGTCTGAAACAGTGAAAAAATGTAAAAAAAAAATATTTGACCCCTGCGGGGGCGGCCGAAAGTGGGTTGGATGAGGGCCTGGTTGGGGCGGGCCATGCGGCCAGGCCGGGTCGAAGCTATACGGGGCTGCAGATGGCAGACCCCAGGCGGATCAGGGCCTCACGCACTGAAAGGTAAGCGTTGGTTTCATTCATGAGGGCGATGACAGTTCGTGGCATATTTTAAAACAACACATTCATGGCAATCATAAGTCAGACCCTGTTTGGCATACCAATGTCAAAACACATTGAAAATCAATCACAGTGCGGCGAACCACAAGTTTCAAACAATGATAACAGGCAAGTGTGTCATAGTGTGTGTTCACTCATGAGACTTATGGACATTCATTAGCACATCATTTATGTAAGAACACATTCATTAGCACATCATCCCTATGTCGCATTCGAAATTAATAGCACATTTATAATGGAGGCATCCATGACATGCAGGTGCGTGGCATCGGAGAAGCACATAATTTGCAACAATCACGACAACAGAGCAGAAAACAATCACCAAACAACAACGACTCAGATGCAAGACCAATGTTGGCGGGGGAACAAGAACAAGAGCAAATATATGACAAAGCATTTCAATGGAAATGCGTATGTACAGGGTTGAAGCCAAAAATTGGACCAATAGTCTCTACTGTACAACCGAGTAGCAAAAAAAAACTGGACCCATCGTCTCTGCTACACAACAGAGTAGCAAAAAAATACTGGACCCGTCGTCTCTATTGTACAACCGAGTAGCAAAAAAAAAATGGACCCATCGTCTCTGCTACATAACAGAGTAGCAAAAAAAAACTTGACCCGTCGACGGGCGTCGTCTCTACTGTACAACCGAGTAGCAAAAAAAAAAAAGAAAACCCTAATGTCCACATACTGTCGTCGTCTCCATGGAACAACATCGACATAAATATGCAACAACCCTGCCAACAGAGCGTCCAGGCTGTATAGCCACGCGAAAAAAAAAAAAAACCTAATGAAAAAAAAAAAAAAACCACGGACGTCGTCATCTTCCACTAGAGCGCGCGCGGCCTTTCCCGGAGGACGGGCGGCCATGCGGTCCTCCCCGGCGCCCTCCTCTCCCTCCGGCACCTGTGCCATGTGCCCTCCGGCACCTGTGCCCCGTTCCCCGCTGACGTATGCCGCATGTGCTGCAGCGGCTGCCGCGGCCACCTGTGCCCTGTGTGTGCGGGCCGCAGTCTCGATCGGCTCGGACTCAGTGTCTGCGTCCTCGTCCTCCTCCGCCTGTGCAGCAATCCCCCTCTCTCTCTCCCTCTGAATCGCGTCCAATGCTGCCTGCCCAGCGGCGACCCCTGCAGCGAGTCGAGCCTCAACCTCCGAGAGGCCATGCTGTCGTCTCGTCCCGGGACGCATCAACAACCCCTCCTCGCCCGATGTGAATTGCTCTCCCCGCAGCCTGTCCGCGGATGTCCCTGCGGCCTCGAGGACCAATGATCTCCTCGTCTCCGCTCGTGACAAACCAAGCATGCGGCCTGCCATCTGCAGGGTCGGACGTCCGGACCCACCCTCCGCAGCCTGCGTCTGAACAGCCGTACATCCCGTGAAGACGCCCCTCCCGGCGTCGTAATCCGCCCGCAACCGGTCACCGACCCGACGAACGGCTGACCATCCGCCACCCACACCACCTCGGACTGTCGGCGGGGAACTGTCACTGTGCGCAACTCCGGGTGCCGCCGTCCCGTCCCCGGTGTCGACCCTGGCCTCCGGAGTTTGTGCAGGTGGTGGAGGCATCGATCCTACACTATCTCTACCGCCGTCGCTGCGTCCGCCGAACCCCACCTCACCCGCACCGGACTCCCTCCCTCTCACGCCGCTGAGCGACGAACCCGACCAGTGAGGGCTCAACACCACGAACATCGGCGGTGAATATACCTTTCCAGGGGCGCGTTGCTTGCCGCTCTTGCGGCTCACGTGTGCGAAAGGGTCATCTGTCAACGCTTGTGCCAAAGCGTCGACGTCGAAAAAAGTGTGCGCTGTGTCCTCAGGGCGCAAGGGAGGCACTGTGGGGTCCCTCAACACCAAGGCGAGCCTATACGGATCGTCCTCGGGACCGTGGTCGTCGTCATCGTCGTCGTCCGGTCCATCGTCTCCACCGACACCCGCGGTATCCCCATCTCCACCGGGTCCACCCTCTCCTCTGCCACACACTGTGGCACCCTGTCCCTCATCACCCGCGGTCTCGCTGTCGCCACGGCCCCCACTAGGGGATCCACCGCCCATGACAACATCCTGCCCCTCAGGGACACCCGCGGTCTCCTCGTCGCCACGTCGTCCACCACCTGACCCACCACCCGCGGCGGCATCCTGGCCTTCATAATCGAACTCCCCCTGAACCGCCTCCTCAGGGACACCGAAGTCGTCGACGTCACGCCCCCCCCCGCCTCCTGTCTCCAAGTCCCTCTGCGGACACTGCTCGTCGAGATACGCGAACCGACCCTCCCACTGTGGCAAACTCCTCAGCCGCTCCTCCTCCTCTCGGTCCAAACGGGCATCCCTCTCCTCCTCAGTCTCAACAGGGCCCCGCTCAATGTCCGCGTCTGTGCGCACCTCCTGCGGTGAGGCATGTCGACGTCCCTCGACACTAAAATCTCCCAAGCTCCCGCCAAGCCCTACGACGTCGAAGTCCTGTGTGCGGAGCACCGACGGCGAGCGGGGGCGGATACCGGCGTCGGAAGGAGTCCTCTCCCCCCCACGATCCTCGCCGTCATGTGTCCGGTCTCTTCCTGCTGTCGACGCCAACCTCTCCAAACGCCTAAGTGCCTCGGGTTGTGCAGAGATCGGGTGATGGGAGGGAGAGAAGCGACGATCGCGAAGGGGCACCTCCTCATCCTCGGCCTCCCCCTCGGCCTCGCTGTCGCTCCTAACCTCCCAACGCCTGCCTGTCTGCCGAAGACCTCCCCGTGGCTGCTGCTCCCCTGAGTCGTCCACGCGAACCTCCGCATGCGAATGTCCTCCATGACCACCGCCGGCTCTGCTGCTGCCACTCGCCTGCGCGGTCGACGGCACATCACCTGTGATAACTGATGTGAATGAATCCATGCCGTCATGACCCCCACCGTAAGTGAAGTACACTTGCTCAGCCGTCGGGTCGCGACTCAGCGGCGTGTCATCATCATCAGTCCAGTCGTCGTCGATGTGGTCGTCTGCCGCAGCAGCGTCCACATCATCCCCACCCTCTGGCCACGGTCGCAGCTCCGTTGCTTTGCTGCCGAACATGTCCCGAACCGAACGGGCTCTGGACGGTCGGCTGTCATGGAAAGCGACAATCTGCTGCTGGATCTCTTGCTCGAGAACACTGCCATCAGGTTGCGCTCCCCACACCTCGGGCTCCACATCTCCCTCCTCCTCCTCCTCCTCTGCCACCGTCCCCCCCCGACCGGTCCCCATAACCCATGGCAACACGTAGCCACCACCCTGTCGTGCGCACGAGGCCAGTTGGAGATTGGTGGCAATCTCAACCAGCTGTGCAAGCTTGGCGAACCCAAGCTTGCAGCGCCTCGTCGTGCTAACGCGCTCGTGCTCCGCCTAGTTCCTCTCCGCTGGAGAGGCAGACGTCCACAAGTGCGAGACACGGATGGCGATGGTGCGCAACTCCGGGTGGGCACGTCCGTGCTCAAACCACCAAGCTGCACATCGCTCGGTCCCGCTGTCCCCCCTGCAATTGACCGCCTCGGCATCGGAGAGGTCATGATCTCCCCAATCCCCTCGCCTCGAGTGGAACGCCCTCATCTGGTCCCTCACGCTCCTGTACAATCTGCCGACCGGATCGCCGCCGGTCTGCGCCAGGAGAAATATGTCGCACTCCTCGACCACACGGCGGTCGTCGGCGGTCGTCTCCAGCGAATGGTAATACGTGAGGGACCGTCGACGAGGGTTGAGGAGGTGGGCCGCGGCATGTGCGGGCTCTAGCATGTGGAGGTTGCAGATGGCAACCTCACGCACGCACGGCTCGATCATGTCCGTTGGCACGTCGACCCTCCTCATCAACTGCAGCAGATGCTGACTCCACTCGTAAACGACGGACATCATCATCCCCCCTCTATCCATCCTGCGCAACAGCTGGTGGACGGGCGACATGCCTAGGATGGCGTACTGGACACGCTGCCAAAACTCCCTGTCCCGGATCTGCTGCTGCACCCACTGCACCTGAGATACATAGGCGCGATCCCACGGGATGCATGCCCAAGCATCCCCGTGCAACATGCTCTCCAACGCGTCTCATCGGCCTTTGAGACACGTCAGCATCAGGAAAACCGATGCAAACCGTGTCTCAACGGTCTCGATGAGCTGAACGCGAGGGCTCACCTTCCTAAACAGGGTGTGAGCAGCGCCGTGCGATTTAATAAATCGCACAAGCGCTCGAGCGTGGATGATGGTCTCCTTGACCCACCCCACTCGCGTCCCGATATCTGACAACATCAAGTTGCAGACATGGGTGGAGCAGGGGAGCCAAGTGATCCTCCTGATGTCAGGCTCGGGGTCTGTGGCGAACCTGCGCGCTGCCGCGGTATAGTTACTGGCGGAGTCTGTGCAGAAACCGATCACGTCCTTTGCAGGAACGGACAAGATGATGGCCCGCCACCTACGGTACACGACGTCCGCTGTGTCTCGGACCGACCCGTCACGTGCGACGGTGGCGTATAGCAGGGCGCCATTGGCGCCCCCGGCGAGGAAGTTCACGAGCGGCTTGCCGCTGCGTGACTTCCTCCCGTCGGAGAGGATGGTGGCACCGCTGTGCCGGAAAGTGGCGCGCACCTTGCTCATTATCGTCGCCACCTTCGCCCTCTGCGAAGGGATACCGACGCCCGCTGTAACCCTGTACGAGGGAAACCGGAACTGGATAGAGCGAGGCACTCTCTCTGCTGCCTGCTGCACCCTCTGGAACTCCGGACCTCGGAAGGCGTTGAATGGCAACTTCTTCACGTAGACCCACTGAAGCCACGCGTCTGAGAACTCGGCCAACTTCTCCCTGGCGTACATCTCGTCAATCGTGGTCTGCCGAGCCCTCTTCTCCCTGCCCGTGTCTGGCACCTCGACTGTCCTCGTCCCCCTCCTCGGGCGATCCAACTCAAGTCGCAGCGCCCTAGGAGCGGGACCCGCTCGACCAACGCCTCTCGACGTCATCACCACCTCCTCCCCTGCAGGTTAGGCTCTCCGACTCCCTCGTCTCCCTCGTCTGCCACCCCCCCCTCCCTGGCCCCACCCTCGTGGCCCTCCTCATCGAGGGCATCCTGAATCTCGTCCCTCTCCGCGTCGTCCATCCGCTGTCGCTGGCCACTAGCGGGCGCTCTCGTGTCCCGTATGCCCTCGTCTGCCATCCACCTCTGCACCCGCTGAGCAGTGGACGGCATGAATGTGTAGTTCGTGCCGTTCCAGAGTTCCGCGAGAACTCTCATCTCCCCAGCCTTGCAGAACTTCGCCTGCGTGAAATGACGCGCGGCCTTCGACGACCCCCCCTGAAATAGGTGGCCGCATAAGTTGCAACGCAACTTTCGGTCCCCGTGCATCTTGGACTGGTCCCCGGCGTACTGGCCCGCGGTGACGAAGTTCCGAACAATGTTCCCTCGCCTCAACTTCGCCATCTCGTTCTCGGACAACGGGTTGAACTTTGCACCCCCAGACCCCCACGCACCGCCGCTCCCTGCACCCCCCGTCATCGCCCCCCCACCAGGATCCAATAAGTCGTGGCCTCGATCTTGGATGTCGTCTGACCGTGCCGCACCGTCGATGTAGCGTCCCCTCGATGTCGCTGAACCCTAACGTCCCCGCCGCTCCTGCCGCCGCGTCCCCTCGATGTCGCGCAAGCCCACGGTCCACTAGCACCCCGGTCGGCCGCCCAGTAGCGCGCCACGGAGGCGGGCAGCCCTGCTCGGCCGCGATCGGCCGCGATCGGCCGTGAACGGCCGTGCCTTGCCGAGCTCGGCCGCGTTCGGCCTCGCCCGGCCGCGGCCGGGCACTAAAATGGCCGCACGCTGGAAAAAGGCGCGTGCGGCGATGGCGACGGCCGTGCGGCGGGTGCTGGGCAGCGAGGGGCCGCTGTCCCGCGTGCTCGCGAGGCGCGCGCCGCTGCAGGGTGCGCAGGAAGAAGAAGAAGAAGATCTCTCTCTCTCTCTCTCTCTCTCTCTCTCTCTCTCTCTCTCTCTCTCTCTCTCTCTCTCTCTCTCTCTCAAGAGTCTCTCTTTCTCTCTCTCTCTCTCTCTCTCTCACAGTGGCGAGCAGGCATTTCGGCAGCATAACGGCAACAACAACAACTGTTGCCGTTTCAGATAAATGGCAGCACTTATCTGAAACGGCAACAGTTTTGCCGTGGCCTGGGCCTGGACCCACCGCCCTCCCCACACTGCCCACTGCCCACACGGTGCCCCTCATTCGGTGGCTCTGAAACAGGGCCAAAATGGCCCACCGGACCTTTTTTTTTTTTTTTTCTGTTTTTATTTTTTCTTCGCCGCGCCGAAGGTCGGACACCCAAAAAAAAAATATGGGCGTGTAGGGCTTTTCCAGCCCTACACGCCCATATATGTATATTTTTTTTTATACGTAAAAAATGGAAAAAAAAAATAATGTACCGAACTCGGCAGGTCGGCCTAGGCCGTGGCCGATTCGGACCCCCCGGCCGCGGCCGGGCGTGCAACATAGCCTATATGGCATATGTATATTATATCATTTCTAATAATAAAAGTGATATTTGGTTAATGCCTGAGTTATGATTTTAGGGACTTTTTTGTGAATATTTATGTCTTATCTTAGGTGGATATTTGCTTAAAGTCTCTATTCGATATCGTCGTCGTTCCGAATAGATTCCTATATGCGCTTCCATGATGAGATCGACATAATTTAGTAGGGATATATTCTGCATTAGATTTAGTTGCGTAACTCCCTTTGAGCCTCGACCCTAACGCCGCTCGTAATTGTTCAATAGGCGATGGGGTCGAGGGAGCTCGAGATGGAAGGTTCTCAAGGGAAGATTGGGGTCGAGGAGCTCGCTTTTTTATTGGGTTTGCGAGATTGGGAGCGAGACAACCTACCCAAGGTTGAGATCGAATTCTTCAAGGGCTATCATGTTTCTGACTTCCTTGATAAATTTGAACAGATAGCATCTCACTGCAAGTGGAATGAGGAGCAAATGCTGAAAAAGGTTATAAAGTATATCCATATAAGTTTGAAGGAGGAAGTCAGTGGGTTGGTTGGAAGAGCGGGCTCATCATGGAGAAAGTTCTATGATGACATGTGGAATAAGTACTGGATAGGTGCGGAACAATTGACCAAGGACAATCTGGAGAAGATAGATCAGTACAATTACGTATCAGTAGGATACTTTCTGATCAAGTATGAACGCGCATCCCGCACACACGTGGTTAACTAGGGGTGTTATTTTTAATGAATTTTGCACCGAATTGCACTGAAACTGTCACATTGTGCTGATTTTTTGCTTTTTTTCTTGTTTTTTCTTTTGTGTGATATATATGTGCTTTAGGGTACATCATGTGTGCAGTTTTGACAGGTTTGGATCAATAATAAAAAAGTTGGCATTTTGTTGGATTCGTTGGACGCTTCATTTTGACTCGGACAGTGTCTTTGTGTTAGGGTTTCACAGTGGTTTTTTTTTTTTTTTTTTTTTTT